ACAGTTTGAATCCCTCGTTTCGCCGCAAAGTGGTTAATACAGAAACCAACCTCAGAGAGAGAGAGAGTTTCCTTGAAATTCGACCACAGGGTGGTCCAAGGCTCGGGAAGAAGAAAGTTTCGAGGTCCAAGGCTCGGGAAGAAGAAAGTTTCGAGGATGAAAAGTTTTCTAGGGAATTATGCGGGTTCGTTGATGAACGAGCGTTAGTTTCATAGGTAGAATGTACAAATAATTAAATTTGATAATTTATATTTTCCCTTTAAATCTATAAACGTGGTACAGGCTGGAAGTTCGCAGCGTTCAAGTGACAAACGTTCTTCGTTTATACCGATAATTTTCAACTGTTATCACTTGCATCGTTCGCCATTTCAATTCACCCGGTTCTACTAAGGAAACTATTCAGGAAAATATCTTTCTCCACGATTCTATCTCTTCCCACGACTCGCCATATAGCCGCGTTTGCTCGTCCGGGAGCCCGGCTCAAGTATAGATACACGCGAGACTTAAGCTGGTTTTGCATGTTGCGACGGGATTCGTCGCGTGGACCCGGGAACGAGGCTGCACACGTGCACCCTAGCCTGCGCCCTGATAATCGAGCCGCGGTTACGTGCGCGGATTAAACGCTTTCTCGTTGCATGTTTCCCGGGCGTCGAAATTGCAAGCTAGCCATGAGAATCGAATTAAGCCTTGCTTTGCAATATCGAATCAGATTCATCATGCGGATTACGGCCGACTATACCGAGCCTGCCGCTTTTGTTTGCCATTTCTGTGCATAATAAGTGATCGATTCGATGTTTTGCTATTTCATAAAAGAGTCATGGAAATTTTCTGGGGTCGTGAAAGATCCAGGTGTGCCGATCCAGAATTAATAAGAGAATAGAATAAAATCACATTGGAGTCTTCGAAAAATTCTGCACAAATTCATGGAAATACTTTCGGGTATCTAGTTTAGAGCTACAAAATTAGAATGTCAAAGAAGATCGGTATCTGTAATTATTTTGCGATACAGTACCGAAAATCAGCCGGGGTCACAGAAGACCCAGGTGTATCAATCCCGAATTAATAACAAAAAACAAAACACATCCACCGGAAGAGTGAAATTGCTGAACAAGATCAATGTCCCCTATGTGTCCCTCGAACTACCTCTTAAAATCAACTCTCTCTCTCTCAGTCAGGATGTTACATCGATACATAAAGCAAAAAGAAAAAAAAAGAGAAGAGCACACACGTTCCAGCGCAAATATTTGCCACGGGAAGACGAGTGGTCGATCTTCCTGCCATTGGTTGATGGATTATGTTTCAGGGGCGAAATCCTCCATTTACCCAACCGAAATACAATCCTACACGTTGCAACATCAATTCCAACTCTTCCTGTACATCGACGACACGAATCGACGCCCGTTAAAAAAATATCTCAACGATCCTTTCCGAAAAACTTTGCTCTACTCGCCGGAGAGGAGGAAAGGGGACACTAGAGGAGAAAAGGGAGAGAAAAGAGAGAAGAGGCGTAGTCACGCAAGAGTAGAGTAGAGCAAATGTGTAGTCTGAAAGGGGAAAAAGAAGGTTCTGCAGAGACACACGGGTATCGATTCAACAAAACCAAGGTAACGAACTCGCGTATTCGCCAGTGTCGTCTCTACAAGTCCAACGAAAAGTTGTAGCTCGCGTGGACCACAGTTCGGGACAAGTCAGACCGCTCTCGATATGTCAGACGCCGAGGAGACTGGTACGTACTATGCCCCGATCCGTCCCGTTCTTCGAGAGAGTTTGTTCGTGAACAAAACTGTTGCAAATCGGTTCCGTGACTGAAACTAGCAAGCACGTAACACGTGCCACACCGTTCGTTCATCTACGTGATCGCACCTCAGCCGCCCTACCACTCACCCTTCTTCCACGTTTCTGTGTTACACTCCTATATTTCGACGTGGCTCTCCGATGGATCTGGTGTGATCCGTCAAGTCGGTCGAATCCGCAAACTCGAGGAGCAGTCACGCGAGGATCAACGCGAACTCGATGCTTATTGCACTCTGGCATTTCGCAGGTGTTATTTTCTTCCTCTTCCTACTTTGCACCCGTGCAGATCAAAATGATAGTTCACTGTATATATAGATCTCTCTAGCGTATTCCTACGTCAGAGAAAAGTAGAGAGAGAGAGAGAGAGAGAGAGTTTTCTGAATTTCCTGCTCTCTTCGGATGGGGGTTAGTTGAAGTTCCCTCTGTGATCCTTTTCGTACTCCACGCTGTTATTACCTCTTCAACATCACACAGTCTTTTTGCCCGCGTCTCTTGACCTAACTTCCACGTCGTCAACCAACGAAATATCAGGAGTGAAATCCGGGAGTATTTCTCTTTTTCTCTTTCTCGTGCAATTGGATTTCCATCGGTTCGATCAACCCAGCAAGCAAAGCGAACAGAGATAGAAACACGTAGAGGCCGGAACTGTTGAAGATCCAGCAAGAATTCAGTGGTGCGTATCATTGTGTGTCCCTTCTCTCTTCTCGTCTCTCTGGCACAGCCTCACCGTCACGTCGATTGTTCCACGCTTTTCTCTACCGACTCTCTTTGTCCCACTTTTAATTGCTCTTCCCAGCCGTCAGCTCCAGAGTGTCCTCAGACCTTTTTTCCTCTTTTTTTTTTTCTCTTCTTCCCCTCCAATTTCCCGGGGATTTCCTCTTTTTTTCCGCCAGCGTAATCGCGGCTTGGGCCAACACGACGTCGTGGACATTTGCCCAGGCGAATTGTGAAAGGTTGTCCTTAATGGCGGGACAAGGTGTCGGCCCGCTGATGTCCTTAGCTATGAAATATCGCGGAAGGAACGGATTCTAGTTCGTTTCACGTACGATCAAAGTTCGAAAGTTCGAAGAAATCTCTTCTGTTCTAGACAAGAAGGATAGAAAACTGTCGGTCACTACCATTGACTGTCTCTAAGCAAAGTTTACGTGACCGTAAAGGTACAGACATGTTGGCTATCGCTGGCGAACAGCGACCTGAGGGGTGAATCATTGATAGGAGAATTGCGCAATCTTGATGTAAAACTACTATAGCTGTTGAACGAGCAGGTCTAGATCCGTTTTCTTTGAACCATTACCACCTGAGGCTATAGGCGAGTAACTTTCAGCCCGTCAGATGCGTCATTTTACGGGTATCGCGTGGAAATAGACATCGTCCATGCCTGATTTAGAAATCGAAACGCTACACACGATCCCGTTTGTCGTGAGAATAATACATAAGACAGAAGAGAGAGAGAGAGAGAGAGAAGTTTCAACTGGAAGACGTGACGTGTACATTCCGTTTCTTCGTGTGGCCACGTAGATCGACAGGTTCGATACGCGAGAGAGGAAAAGAGACATTTCAGATAGGAGAGATAACACCACCCATCCCTAGAGGTGAACCGTACGAAATAATCGGGATGAAGGAAAGTTTTGAAAGTCTATTTAAAAGCAATTTTCATCGCGTTCGAACTTCTAATTTCCAGAGGTTGGTTTCGTGACCACGAGCAACAAGCTCTATGACCCAAAACCACCTTACTTTCGTTCCCACGTGATCGCGAGAGATTAACAGAGCCACGTGAGGATTGGTGGAAAAAGATATCGGGAATTAACGCGAACGCAATTACGAGGAAGCGCCAGAGAATCTAGTTGGACCCCTATGGTAGAATTCTCCTTCGTTTACGAGATCGTTAATCGACGAACGGTGTGTGGCCTCTCGTGACCACAAACGACTCCACACAGTTCTCTGTTAGAGGTTCGGAACGATGTCGTGAGATCTCTGACGCGTGGCAGCCACGCGAATTCCCGCCAACCCCGAAACGATTGAACCGCGCGAAATCACGAACCTCGGGGTGGTGTTACACGAGAACCGACACACGAGAATTAACCGTAACGCGGCGATCCAACAGGCACGATCGCTGTTTCCACACTTTATCACGTATAGCAAGGTGGTAGGAACCACTGACTGTTAGACCCGAGCGAATTCAGTTGGTTCCCGCGTCTTCTGCTCGTTGGATCACCGCGTTCTCCTCGTCGAGGATGGCTCACGGAGAGGGACGAGACCCTTTGGAGCATACCAGCCTCTATCAGAGAGCTGGTTCGATTCTCTTTCATTTAAAGTATTCCCTTGACTTCTCGTTTTTTATGGATTTGAGTTATTGTCAGGATCGGTGGGTCAGCCTTGAACTTGGACCATTTGTATTTTCTGGTGTTTTTTAATGATAATTCAATTAACTAAGACGTGAACTGCGACTATTTCAGTGGCGCCTTAGGGGTCAAATTTGAACCGTGCTATCGAATTCGATAAAAACGCGTCAAATTCGCGAAAAATAGCTTAAACTTGGACCATTCTTATTTTGTGGGGTTTTTAATGATAATTCAATTTATCAAGACGTGGACTGCGACTATTTCAATGGCGGCGCCTTAGGGGTCAAATTTGACCCGTGCTATCGAATTCGATAAAAACGCGTCAAATTCGCGAAAAATAGCTTAAACTTGGACCATTCTTATTTTGTGAGGTTTTTAATGATAATACAATTTATCAAGACGTGGACTGCGACTATTTCAGTGGCACCTTAGGGGTCAAATTTGACCCGTGCTACCAAATTCTCAAAAAATGCGTCAAATTCTCAAAAAATAAAATTGATAATTTTGTAAATGTAGTTAATACGAAAATAATGATCTAAAATAATAAGTGCACGCGTGAAAATGTCGATATCTTTATTTCCAGCATTGCAAATTCAAACAGACATTTCATTCTTCTAAAGTTCCACTAAGGAGAATTTCGTTTCTACACCAGAGAGGCAGTCAACGTGTTAAATCTGAAAGCCTCGATGAATAATAGAGACCTTGAAACCTCTCATTTTTTAAATAATTAATTCTTCTTTCTCGTTGAATATTTCGCTGGAAACGCAACTGGAAGAGTTCGAGTCGGGGGGCCTAAGTTAAAATTGCGATTGTTCAGAGAGCGAGGACAGCGATGCAGAGGGCGGACTGGGCAACGTGAACAAGATGATAATGCGACCACCAGGTCACAGTGGTAAAGCGAAGAAGGGGCACATCTGCTTCGACGCCTCTTTCGAGACTGGCAACCTGGGCAGAGTGGATCTTATCTCCGAATTCGAGTACGATCTCTTTATACGCCCCGACACCTGCAACCCTAGGCTTCGTCTGTGGTTCAACTTCACCGTGGACAACGTGAAAGCTGAACAGCGCGTGGTTTTTAACATCGTCAACATTTCCAAGAGTACGAATTTGTTTCGAAACGGAATGACACCGTTGGTGAAGAGCAGCAGTAGATCGAGATGGCAGAGAATTCCCAGAGGACAAGTGAGTGTTTGCATGTGTCAATTGCAAAAGTTCGTGCCCGATTTTCAGAAATGGCGGGAACCTTGTCACACTTCGGCACAGATGTTCGTTTCAGCGTAATGTTACATTCCTATCGAAAGATAACACCGCTTGTGTTTGAATTTTCAAATAATTCTTCGTTTCGTTTCGTTTTATTTTCAAATGAAATACAGCGGGGCACTGCACTTACGTACTAATTGGTCCCAGAGAGTGGGCGACGTAAGTCGAAAAAGACTAAGTCGGGGTACACAGAATAGACACGTACTGTCCGACAAACCCAAAGTGAAGCCTCTGACGTCGCACAGGGCCTAAAAGTGGGAGATGTAGGGGAACTTGCGACGGTCTGCTGTTAGTAAGCCAATAGGGATAGAATAAGGCTGTCGCAGTTACTCTTAAGTCTTTAGGAGGCTTCCTTTACAATAACAATTTATTGTGTATGAGTCGCTTAGAAATGAAAATGTAAGAGGACAGGGCGACCAAATAATTTTTAGTTTTCCGTTCTTTTATCAGCGTGTTACATTATCAAATTCGTTTTTCTAAGTCTAAACCATTTACCTACAACGCAACTTCCCCTCAAACGCCAGCAGTGTAAGACCCAAGAGTAGTGGGGATGACCTGAACCGCCTATTTTGCCTTCATTTTGCTAGGCTGTGACGTCAGAGGCTTCACTTTAGGTTTGTCGGACAGTATGTATGCAAATGTATTTATCAGATTAGGGGTTACACTTTCTTTTAACCCTTTGCACTCCTCGCAATTTTTAATATGACCTACCAGAAACTCTGAATCATTTTTACTATAGTCTACCAGCTACTCCGAGACTAGTTGCAATGGTGCGAGTGCGCCTCTGTGGAAGATTCAAAATCTAGCTTTGCCATTAAAAAAAACATGGCATATCTTACAATGTCGCCGCAGCAGCGACAATGGAGCTGTTAGTTCCACTTACAATGTCGCCACGGCGGCGACAACGGAGTGCAAAGGGTTAAATTTATAGAAATGATTTGCTCAAGTAACTTTCAGACTGATTCGGTAAGAGCTAAACACGTGGAGCGTAAAATATCGATTAAAAACAATTGACTATCGAATTGTGTAAAAACGACGTAACTCGGGAGGACGTAACTCGGGGTCCCGCTGTACGCGCCTTTGCATACACCGGTTGTTTTATTTCGAAATCGGGCAGGAACTTTTGCAATCATCCCCGATAGAAACAACGATCGATGTTAAATATTGCGATTTTTTTCGCAGGTTTTTTACTACAAATCGGCACAGCATCAGAATCATTACGTTTTAAGCTTCGCCTTTTCATTCGATCGCGAAGAAGACGTCTATCAATTTGCTCTAACTTATCCGTACTCGTACAGCCGATATTTAGCGCATTTGGATAATCTTTGCGGGAGCAAATTAACGTGTACGAAGAGAGAGACACTAGCCACGTCTGTTCAAAAGAGAAAGATCGAGTTGATCACTATAAATTCGAATCTGGACGAGGCTCAAGATCGTTCGAGAAAAGTGGTGGTTGTTCTGGCCAGAATACATCCAGGCGAGTCACCCTCTTCCTTCGTTTGCCAAGGTCTAATGGACTTTCTGGTCAGCTCTCATCCCATTGCCCAAGTGTTGAGGAACTACGTTGTCTTCAAGATAGTGCCGATGTTAAATCCCGATGGTGTTTTCCTTGGCAATTATAGGTAAATAAAGGAACATTTGCCAAGGCGATATAAAACGGGCGATAAAAGAGCGACGGTTGTGTGTGTTATTGAAGATCGACGGTGATGGGTGCAGACTTGAACAGATCTTGGAACAAAATTTCCGAGTGGCTTCATCCTGCTCTGATGGCTGTCAAACCGTTGTTGAAGAACCTCGACAAGAATTCTAGAACGCCGCTGGACTGTGTGCTGGATCTACACGCTCATATGAACGCCACGGGGATTTTTGTCTATGGAAACACGTACGACGACGTGTATAGGTATACTTTAACCCTTTCGCTTCGAGGAGCGTATATGATAATTACTTTTTGAAAATTTTTAGGTTAG